AATTCCTTTTTTACATAATTATAATATTTAAATAAGGAATATTTTTAGTAACTAAACTGTAGAAACTTCACAAGCTTTTGTATCTTACAGTCATAATTTCATTATACCACTATTTCATCTTAACATAAACATACAATATGAACAACGATTATTTATTTGCAACATATACAATGTTTATATTCAGTAAAATAATATAGCTGTTAGATAAACGATTAATATAAATTAATCACCTGCGATATCTTTAAGATTGCTTCAACTTTTGTATTGTTATTCATCTACAACTGCTTATGTGTAATTACACCTACTAGTAGGCAGTAATTATATAAAAATTGTTTATAATTATAGAAGAAAAGCAATCATAACTTTTATGAGAAGAAAACAAATAACACTTGTCAAGATGATTAGCAGTATATGAGTATTAGAAACATAGAATCATTCAGAATGTGCCTTCACAATGTGTGTGTATATTTGATGCCGTCTTAAAAAGAAAGGTTTAAACCTTGATACTGTCTTAACTGCAAATTTCATCAGGAATTTATGTATGAATATTTGGTTTTCATAATATATGTCACTTATTATTTTTGGTAGTTTTATTTGTACTCCTTATTTCGATCGATCAACGTACACTTGGAAATATGTCAACATGTACTTAGTAAATACTTAAGAAAGGTAGGTTTATAAGTTCTAATTAAAAAATTGGTGTAACTTTTTAATTCACGGTTAATTGCTCGATAGTTTCTAACTGTTCCATTTCGATTTTGTTAAAGGAATCATATTGTATACGAAGTCTTTCAAGTTCCATCGATTTTTCAACAATTTGTGCCTGCAATTTACAATTTATTAATTTTATAATTAATTTTGCCTTTATAAACGGATAAAATTTTATTTTTTTTGCATTTAGTTTCTTTTGAAAAATAATTCATATACAGTAAAAAATTTTTATTTCAAGAAAACCTGAATTTGTTGTTTTTGAGCATCCCTTTCTTTCGCGACGGAGCGGAGCAAGTTCCGAGTTCCAATAGTTTTCATTTTTTCCTTTTCCACATCATTTGCCAATTGATCTATTATTTGTATAAATTCATTTGAATTCATTTGAAATTCAGTAATTTCTGTCAAATAGAAAAACGACAAGTATTTTATTGAGTAAAAAGAATTTTTTCATACCGTTTATATAA